CGGTTTATTGCGGTTTCGGGTTCCGGGTTTGCGGTATATTGCGGCTTTAGGGTTTCAATAAACTTCTGCATGGAACGGCTCAAAGACGGATCCTGCCTTAGAGCTCCAGCTCCTCACTCGCCTGTCGGCTTCCAATCTTGCCGTCCGGAGCCGAGGTCTTTTTTTCTGGATTTAGAGATTTAGGGTTTAAGGTTTAGTAGTTTGCTGGTTTCGGGATTTAGAGATTTTGGTTTAAGGTTTAGTAATTAGGGTTTCTGGTTTAGAGTCTAGAGGTTAGGTTCAAGTTTGGTGTTGCTAGTTGATCTGTGGCGGGTTGTGTATTCGGGTTTGTGTAAAGGTCTCTCCAATTGTTCCATAGCTGAGGGTTTAGGGTTCAGGGTCTTGGGCCGGATTGAATATTTTGACCAGGGGGTGGCTTCCAGTTAAGCAGGTTTCCTATAGGCTTGGCTTTGGTGTTACTTGGGTTTGTTGCCTAAACCCTACACCCTGAACCCTAAACCCGAAACCCTAAACCGTAAACCCTAAACCCTAAACCTGACGGGAAACCCGAAGCCCTGATTGTGTCATTGCTGGTGCATCTGGCCTCGCACAAGGCCTGTGGGCTTGATAGGCAGAAGCTTCACTTGCGGGCGCGTTTAAGGCTTTCATAAGTCTTCTATGGCTACCTTACTTATTGGTTTAGGGTTTAGGGTTTAGGGTTTCATCCTCTTTTCTTTGGGTCCCTGCGCCTTCAAGCAGGGCATATAAACAGGGCCTATCGAGCTCTGGGTGTGAGACTTCCCATCTGAACCCGCGCCGCCGAGCCAAGTCGACCCTGGAAGACTACGAACGAAGGGAAAGGAGGTTCTGGGGACAGTTTGGGCTCAAAGTTTACGGTAACAAACACCAAAGCAGCGGCCAAAAGAGCCCTTTAGAGCAAACTCCAAGGTTCTTGGGTGCATAGTTTCCCACCGGGCACGGTCACCACCCGAGCTGCCTCTAGCGGCACGATCGGTGCTCTCAATGAAACCGTGCACACACGCACACACGCGGACGAACAGGGCTGGAGGGTGTTAGTTTGGGAGTCGGCCTGCGACCAGCTGGTTAGCCACCTTGCACGACAGACAGACCAACGACAACGAAGTCACCATCGTGATGTGCAAGACTCTCGGTGGTGGTAGGTTCCCGCCCAAGAATCTCCAACAGAGGACCAGCCTGGGCAACTGCATAGCAGCTACGGGTCCTTTCAGGGTTCCTTTACAGTGCGGGCTCCTCTGAAGGCTCCTTTTAAGGGCTCTTGGGTTCCTGTAAGGGCGGCGCCCCTACCCCAAGATGTTGGCTCGCCAAATTGCATGGACCCAGTCAAAACCCCGAGGCACTGCAGCTCCAAACTGTTCGGAGAGCTTGGCATTAACAGGGTTTTGGGGGGTCAAGTTTAGTTGCGAAGCATGGGATATTGGCTGGAGCCGTCGCTGGTTTAAGTTTGTTCAACAGCTCCTTACTTCTAGGTTTGTATGTGGAAGTACCAAGAACAATCGAGTAGCATCAAAGATGTCATGGAGTTTTCTGTTCACGGGAGTGGCACGGGTCATGGGTAGTGAGTTCAGGGTCGTAAGTAATATGACCTGAAATGGGGGTGAAAGCATTGCACCTGGTAGCTATGCCCTTCTTTATGACGCTCATTGAACATAGCCATGAGCCTTCAAGTGGGTATGAAAGGCTAAAGTAGCTCGCTCGGAAAGAGTCCATAATGGGGCCCCCTAGCCTGGACAGAGGTAAACAATACAAGTGACACATGGATCACAAGCAGTAGGAGCCCGTTCATATGGAGGTTTCCGAAAATTAAATAAGGCTACCGTATTTGGGGGTCCTTATAATAAGGATCTTACTATAGTAGGGTCCCCTATTCTCGGAAACCCCCCATATCTTTGACGACCACTTATTTGCCAAGGCCATGGATCAGAACGAGAAGGCCTTCCAGAAGCAGGCCCTCTGTGGCTTCAGGCTTTGTTTAGGGTTTAGTGTTGCAAATTTACCACTTAATGATTTCCCAGCTATAGTCGGTCTGTACCCATTTGCACACATATAGTATGTATGTGTATATATATATATACACACACACATACTACTACATTTCCCCAAGCTCTATTCTAATCATCAGGGCGCCACCATGTTTGGCTATGTGGGCTGAGAGTGCCTGGCTTTGGACACCATGTCGTAGCTCAGGTTCAGGTGTGAAGGTATGCCGTGGACTTATGGGAAAATAGGGGCCTGAAGAATTAGAACAGGGTTTGGGGTACATTATACTATAGTTATGATCAGGAACCCCCCCCCAAAAAAAAAAAACTTTATTCTAATCATTAAGGCTCCTAGATAGGGTTTCGGATCAAGCCTGAGTTTGCAGGTATAGCCGAAGCCCCAGTGGCAAACGCCACGGCGTGCCACCCCCCAAGCCCCGCTTGGCATAGGAATCAAAGGCGTCGCCGACATCGTTCTCGCGGCCGGATCCAGGCCTCACTTGCCAAAGGCCTCCGCCCTTGGAAAAGAGACCTGGAGCTTCTGCGTAGCCACCACTCAAGGCCGCTTTATACCTCCTTGATGGGGGGCAGAGGAGGACGTAAGCGGAAATGGAGCACCGATCAGCAAGGTCGGGGCTGGCAGCACGACAGCGAGGGCCAGACTTCCGCCCCCTGGCGTGTTTGGCCTGGGGCTTACTCTCCGCGTGGGCAGGATGCCAGGCGCAGAGATTCCTCCTGGCAGGAACAGCGATACGACCAAGTGCAGTTGAAGACCGAGCCTGGAGGCCGACAGTCAGAGGCTGGCCCGCTAGCCCTGCAGGAGATCCCGTCTGGCTCCGAGCTCACCATTCGACAGATGGTGCAAAAGGAGCTTACCGCGGCCCGCAAGGCAGAGATACGTCTCCGCAAAACCCAGGAGGACAAGCTCATGAAGGAAAAGCAATGGAAGACTTGGTCGGAGAATGCCAAGGCGGCATACCTGAAGCAGAAGAAACAATTCGAAGCAGATATGGAGAGGCTAGACAAGGAAATGGTTCTTGCTGCAGAGCAGAGCAACAATGCGGCTGCCCGAATGCAAGCTATCGTCGCAGGCCGGATGCCTGTAGAGGTTGCAGCCCCGGTTGTCACGGACGACAGCTGGGAGCGACTGATCCAGGACGATGGCGACGAGGAAGAGGACCTTCTTCGCCAGGCACTGCATGCTGTCAAGGCCTACCAGGAGCGTCATCGCCTTCCGCGAGCGCATCGCGCCCCCATGCAAGTCGATCAGGTCGGGCTTGCAAGCACTGGTGCAGATGGATACGAAGCTGGGATGGGAGCCCTAGATGTATCCTCTTTTCCGGTCACTCCTGTTCGGTCGACGCCAGCTCAGCCCAGGACACCAGCCCCACGCCGCGAAGAGTGCTTTGTTCATGGTATTGTGGAGCCGGAAGCCGCCGTTCTTCACGACCCATATACAGGGGTTTCTTTGGTTCATTGCGACAGAGCTCCCCCTGGGATTCCGCCGACGACTGGATTTGTCGCCTCTCCCGGGGTTGCCCGCCCTTCTCCGGTCCATGCGGGTCAGAGAGATCACAGCAAGCCAAGGGTTCCTACGGCTTTGGAGCCACCTCGCCCTGGTATCAAGGAGGCGACGAAGACACCCCCGCAGAGTATCTCAACAGGTGCTTCCTTGGAAAACAAGTTGGAAGCCAAACGGGCTGCAGCCTATGCTGCGTTGGCCCCCTTTGGAGGATCATCTCGCAATGTGGCCGAGCATCCTGCTCCTGTCGACAAGGCCGAGCCGGAGCCCCCTCCTTCACTGCCTTGCTCGGCTTCCGCGGTTATCCACGACGACGACGAGGAGGAGGATACCTTCTCAGATGGATTGGGCGGCCTGTCGTGATCTACGAAGGGTGGATCTCTTTCCTGTGCCTTGGCGACCTGGTGTCATGGCTGGTGGGCCCTCTGCCCCTCGGTCAAATGACCCTGTGTCGCCTCGGGCAGGGTACGGGGATCTCATCCTTCTTGTTTCCTTGGGAACCATCTGAGGAGGCCTTTGCTCACTTCTATGTACAGAGGGATATGTACATAGTATCTGATGCAGCGATTTTCTGCTCTCCTCCCTGTCTCGCTCCTGCACCAACCGCTCAGGCACTACCCTTCGGCTTGTCGTTGGATTTGTCATCCTCGGCCTGCGTTGAGGCTTCTTGCCTTGATGCTAGCCCCCGCCACAGCAATTCCTGTGTGTTGGCTCGCCACCTTTCGAAGTTCACCTGTGCTGAGTTCTCTTTTGTGTGGGCTCGTGTTACATCCTGCGTTACCAATGGCGCCTCGATTTTGGGCTGCTTCCGGGATCTCCCTGTGTTTTCTTGGACTTGCGCACTTTGCGTGGACTTTGTCCCCCTTGATATTGGCACTCGCACCGGTGTAGGCGGCAGGTTCAATTGCGCCATATTTGGCAGCATGCCTGGTTTTGAGAGGCTTTCCGGTGTCAATCCTATGGAATCGTGCCACGAGTCGTGTCGACCCGCTTCTGCTAGCTCCCTTCTCCCCGCCCGGTGCCAAAAAGATACATCGGTGGCTCTGGGGTATCTACCCGGCGGGGAGTTTGGATTCTCATTTGGGCTTTATGCTCTCAAAGCGCTATCCGCCCTTCTGATTCCGTTTGTCAGGTGTGCCCTTCTGGTCGTTCCTTTCGCGCTCTGTTTGCTCCTTGGGCGCTCTTTGCGAACAAGACATTCTTGGGTTGCGCGCGTGTGTGGCAAGCCCTTCCTTGTGGCCTGCCGAGATGTCACTGTTGGCCTGAATGTTGCCAGCCCTTCTCGACCAGTTTTGCAGTGGTCCCCGTGGCGGGACAGGAAGGGACGTGTGTCGACTTGTCGCCCTCGCGCACGACCCCAAATCCCTAAGGGTGCTTGGATCTGGTCATGGGTGCTGACCCTCTTGTCACTCCCTTACCCGATCGAGGCTGGCCCCTGCTGGCCTCGTAGGACGGTCCTCCTACCTGCCTTGGGAGAGGCTATGGCAAGAGCCGGACAGGCAGAGATTGCCGCTTTCGTCGGGGCACAGCCTCCACACTTGTTGGAACCGGAGGAGCTGACTACCTACACTGGCACTTACGCATTCGCGTTCCCTTGGGCTACTTCAGAGGATGAAGCAGAATACCCTGACCGGGTATGTCTCGACCGCCTACCTTGGAGCAGGTCAGCCCGTGGTTCTGAGTCTTCGGATTGGCTTGGTGTATACCTCCTCACTCCCAACTACCGCACCATTTCCTGTGCGCTCAGGCCTTATCCGAGGAGCCTTGATGCGGTTGCGGATCTTCTCATGCGCTTTGCGCCGGGAGTCCCTTCGAGGCTTTTCGATCTGGTTGTTCCTTTACGCCCGCAAAGGTCTGATGGCTTTGGCTTCTTCATCCGGTTCCCTAGTATCCTTCGATATATTGGCACAACTGGCTTTGCTGCTATTGCCTTCGATTTGACCCGAGTCGGCGGTAAGTACTTCGCGGCCGTGTTGCCTCGAGAGCTCGGATGCCATGAGCTTCTCCAGTACGTCATGCCTCTGACCTCTGACGATGATGCGCCACTTGCTATCTTTGTAGGATGTAGGGCCAATCCTTGGCCCGAACACGCTTGGGTGCATCTCCAGGATGGGGATGTTGTCACAGTTACCCGCGGCCATCATGCGGGTCCCGCTCGCATCCGAGTCGAGGAGCTCTTTCAGGAAGACGCGAGGTGGGGCCCCCTGCATCATGCACTTGCAGTAGAATCCCCATTTGCTGTTTGTGTCCTTTTCCAAGGGTTGCGATATTCGATCCAGCCCCACTTCCATTTCGGAGTCAATATAGTGCAGCACATTCTTTCCTGCTTCCGGGTCGATCCCACCCGGACTGTCACTTGTGCATTTCCGATTGTTGACGCCGATGTCCAAGGGGACCGCTGCTCTACGGCCATTTTCGTGGCTGAGGATCCGCGTTTTGAGGCTGCTGGCCACGGAAGGTTAGAGCCTATTTTTGTCCTCATCGATCCGCGGCCCCTCGGGCAGAAGCATTTCTGCCTACAACTTGAAGAGCCTGTAGTGCATATTTCGACCCTGGCCAACACCCTGAACCTTCAGCTTCCCCCTACTCATCGATTAGGGGTGATAGGTGGGGACCGACGTAGGGATAGGGTTTTTGTCCAGGGTAACGTTACCCTACTGCTCTATGCAGAGGCATTTCCTGCCAGCGAGCTTGGTTCACTGACCTCGCTGCCTGATACAGGTGAATCAGGTTCAGTCTCTTCTCCTCCCCCCGGTGCCACCGGCGCAATTGGCCCGGCACGGGATTCGGACGGTAACTCAGCTCACATTGATGTCACTATCCCTGAAGGACACAGCTGGAATACGGGTGTCGATGACAGAGGGGTTACTATGCCTATTGACGAGCCTATCATGCCTGCTGCAGGTCCGTCTGATGCTCTCTTTGCAGCAATCAGCTCCCCTCGTACTGCTGTAGCCAACGAGGGGTTTTCTGCTGCCGATGATAGCACAACTTCTATGCATACTGCAGCGAGCGAGATTAGTGGTACCCGGCCCGCCACCGTTGTTCCGGACGCGGACGCAGTCATTGATGTGGCCACGACATCACCGGTTGGTGATTTCCCCGACCTTACTTCTGGAGCGATGCCGGGTTCTGCCTCTTTGATCGTTTTGGTCTACATGCCGGAGTTCTCGCCAGACCTCATCACTCTGACGGTAAGCTTTCCGACCAGTGTGGCCCTTTTTGTGTCGCGCCTGCAGGACGCCAGATCCTCGGAGCTTGTGGTAAGTTTTCCGGACCTCTTTCCGGCTGCGCC